CAAGAACAAATTTAGGATTGTTATATGCCCTCGGGAGTCACGCCATTGCCCAGCAATGAAACGTGGTCTTCTTGAAGTCTTGTCTCATGTAAAGTCCATGAGCTCCTTTGGTATTAACTTTAAAACCACGATCTTGAACCAATTTTTCTTCATTATAAGAATCGATTGAGTAAGATAATAGTCTACACGTGTCATATGTAGGAGTATTCCAATCAATAAAAGCTTTTCCACACACTTCTCTCTCTTGCTAGCTCGCGTCCCAAAGAAAATAATAATAAGAATGAATCTTGGATCCCTCTTCAGTTCTTGGATACTTTTTAAGTGATTCGTCAATTTGGTAAGTATAATTTAGCTGTTTCTTTTTTGAATTTCTTGTTGATTTTAGTTCTTTGATGAGTAGCATCCGCCCCATGTAATTTAATTTTATTTTGAAGAGGGATTTTAATTCTTGGGTGGATTTATTGGAGAAAAGTAGTAATTTTGTTTGATATTTTAGAAATCCCATATTTCACGAGGCTGATAAGGGTTCCCTCAGATCCGTGAAACCTAGGTAACATGTGGCAAAAAGTCTCAATCTTTAACGGTTTTCTTGTGAATCTTGAACGCGTTTGATTTCCTTTTTCCTAGGATTTTTTCATGAACCCCTTGTTAAATTTACGGATAAGGGATTATTTTGTCTTTTACTTCATGTTCTTGAGTATATAAGTGTTGGTGGTGGAGGTGACAATTTGGTGTTCTTGGATGTAATTCTCCTGGAGGAAGAATTTGGAAAGTTCAGATACTTGGAGATACTTCGACTTTGCTCAGTCTCAAATTCATGTGTACGGAAGGTTAGTTCCTATTTTCCTCCCAGCAGATCTGATATCTTTTTTGTTTATTTTTGCTCTCCATAGCTTACCTAGTTTTCCTGTGGTCCTTGGAGAAGTCTTGGAGTTAATCTTGTGGCATTTTCGACTAACTTTCACTAATCAACTGCAAACTTGGGCGAGTATCATTGTTTGTTAATTTGCTGGATTGATGTTTTTTGTAATGGTTTGAGATAATGAATAACCTTTGAGGCTTGTCCAAAGTTTGTAGGGAGTAAGGGACTAAAGTTAAAGAACTGATTGATCCAGTGTTTGGGGAGACTTGTTGGCAAGTTTGTGTTAGTTATTCCAAGTTTTAGAAAGGGGGGATGATGGAGGAGATGTCTCCAGCAGTTGCAGTTACTCTTAGCTTTGGTAATTCTATGTGTGAAAATTCAGGAATTGCAAACCATGTGGAAATCACACGACTCAAACTAGTGACAGACACGGCAAGCTTGCTGTCAGATCCAGCACCAGTACCAAATGATAATTCTAATTCTAGTTCGGATAATGGGGTTACCGTATCAATGCCTGGAAGGAGTGATGAGAAACCTGATATCTCACAGATGATACAGAAAGCTGAAAATGGTCAACATATTCACAATGCCGTGATTCAAGAAACTGAAGAAGATGAAATCCTATCAGCAGGAGACGACCCTAGCATAATTAATAACTTGGAGTTGCTGCCCCTGGATCCCACTTCAAACATAAGTTTGCCTATGAATGCTACTTTAGGGGGAAGTTTCCCCATTGCTGTCGAAATTCAGGGCATTGAGAATGGTCAAATAGTTGCAAAGGTCATCAGTGTGGAGGAGAGACATATACAAAAGGAATTAGCTGCTGATATCCTAACAATACCTACTGAACCAACTGAAGAATGTTCTAATGGACCTACAATAAAGGCGTCTGTAGTTGCTCTTCAGTTGCCCGGTGAGAAGGATCCATGCAAAGGAGGTGTTAAGAGTGTCTTTGAGTTGGAGTGTGTGCCATTATGGGGTTCAGTTTCTATTTGCGGAGATAGGCCAGAGATGGAAGATACTGTCATGGCTGTACCTCATTTTGTGAAAATTCCCATTAAAATGCTCATTGGTGATCGTGTAATAGATGGGATAAGTCAGACTTTAAATCACTTGAGCTCTCATTTTTTCGGGGTGTATGATGGTCATGGTGGAGCTC